CCTCCTGTCCTCCTCTCAGGATGTTGCGGTGGCTGGTGTGTGGTCGGCTGGGACCAGTTTGGATGTGGAAAGCACTTCTGCTGTTTCTGGCCATTGCTTTTGCAGGTCAGCTGCTGGGAGTCATCTTCAACAAAAGGTATGTGACATACTTCCATATTTCTTATTTTTGTATCTCAGGTGTAATTGTTTAGTAGTTTTAGTTGAAGCACAGCTAAGCTTTTACACCATTATACCAGCTGGGACAGTCAAAATACGTGTATTCATTTATAAACAACTAGCAGAATCAGAATGTGTTAACAGATGTTAAATTACATAGAATTTAATGCATTCAAAATTGTTAACACAGTTTAGCACATTTTCTTTTACATACATACATACAGAACCTTTGTATTTGTGTGTTTCTGGTACGCCCGTAAATCTGACGCACAAGCAACATCCACAAACAGCAGAAATGGGAAATAAAGCTGCCTCTGTATGCCCACTGGGTGGTAATTTGGTATTCGAGCCTAAAGTAGAATCTCAATGCTAAACATGTAGCAGCAGCACAGACGTCTCCGATGCTAATGTCAGTGTTTCTACGTCGAGATTTCGATAGAAGTTCCATGAATGATGAGAAATTCCTGAAACTCTGGAAAGATGAATGGATAGACCAGAGCTTTGCTCCAATCTGATTGTAGTTGCAGAAAACAACAAAAAAAAAATCTATGCTGTTGAGTTCGTCTGTCCATATTTTCCCCAATAATTTAGCAGCAAAAATAGTTTTTGAGTTGAAAATTTAGCCTATTTTGTCAATATATATTTTTCAGTTAAAATGAGATTAACTTGATTAATACTGGAATTAACTCAGTGAAAAACTTTAATCCAGTATGTTGGGAATAAATAATTCTGTGTTTTTCTCTGTCTCTTTTAGCTGCTTGCATGCTCGTACACACACACACACACACACACACACGCACAAGCACACACACACACACACACACGCGTGCCCTCATAACGGCTAAGCTTAGATAGAAGCTAACAAAATGAACTAGAAGCTGTTGTCAGGTGCCATTTTATTGTGTTAGCCCATAAGAACCGGCATGATAATGGACCATCACTGTGTACTAGTCTTAATAAATAGTGAGTTGAATTCCTGAATTCTGACATTAAGAACCTAAATGGAGAAAAAAATAATTCCCCACAAGTTCCAACACCGTTTTTTACCAAAATGAAAAATAAGTGATCTCCTGGTTGTGTCTGCCATTGTACTGTACTGATTGGGTAAAATGACTTTACATTTAACGGCTGAGCATTAACAAGACAGCCACTTGATGATAAAATATGGATAAAACGCCACCAAACGTTATTTATGTCACTGCGCATTGAGATTCACCACCTGTGTTTTTTTTTTTTTTTTTTTTTTTCTAAATTAAACACTAAAAGACTATCAGATTTTTTGCCAACAAAAATGAACCAAAGTTCACAAACTGTTCTTTAAAGAGGCGGAATGCAGTCTAGTGTACTTCATTCCTTGTACCTAGTCAGTGAAATGGCTTTATGCCACGTTCCAAAAGAGCCTGAAGATGAGCTCTGAGTGTCATTCAACAGGTTTAAGGTTAATATTTTGTATTTGTATGTTTAAAATGTTCTCAAAATTGCATGTGTTTTTTTTTTTTATTGGATCTGGAAAAATCTGGAATTCTGTGCAGCTCTGCTATGAGCCAGAGACACCAGAGTCACATGGTCTGAGAAATAAATGGTACTGGCTGGTCTCATGACACAAGTCTTTATTTCACAATCATAGTCATTGTAATGGCTTGAAATCTGTTGGTAATTGTAAAAAAAGGCCTTGATGGTTCTTCCAGTCCATCAAAGTCTATAAGAACCAAATGTCTCGGTTCTAGACATTTCTAATTTCTGTTGTTTTGGCATGTTTGGGCCGGATTTGTTTGGGTTCATGTAGGTGAAAACTTTTCTGAAACTGATCCTGTGTGTCCAATATTATTTTTTTTAATGATGTGGCAGAGATGATTATTTTTATAAAGACCCGGCTACGTGTGTACAAGACCTCATCATGTGAATGTGGATGGTAGCAGCCCTTCATTTTGTAGAGTATAAATGCTTCAAATACAAACTTAAGATCTCAATATGTGAAATGGTTGGCTCAACAATAACCAGTCAAACATCAAATCCAGAACAGGTTTATATTTGGTCAGATGATACATTTCCCCACAATTTATCCAGAAATGATTTCATCTGGGTTTGATTCAGTCCCATATGAATTAAACCCAGCATTATAAAAGTGTCCTGCTTTCCTCATTTCTTTCTGACAGTTTGAAATCTCCTCTGTAAAATTCTTTTCCGTTCTCCAGCAATGTCCAGCCAGCCGCACGATCCATCTTTTCTTCTCCTGATGCTCAGGGGCCGTCTCTGGGTTCCTGTCGGCCCCACACTCACATCATGTTCCTGAAGACCCACAAGACGGCCAGCAGCACGGTGCTCAACATGCTGTACCGCTTCGGAGACGAGCACAGCCTCCGCTTCGCCTTGCCGCTGGGATACCAGCTGGGCTACCCGCTGCCTTTCAACGCTCACAGGGTGAAAGGCTACCGAGGTCCCAGAGCCATCGAGTTCCACATCATGGGGAATCACATGAGGTTTAATAAGCTGGAGGTGAGTTCTTCAGAGGAGCGGAAAACATGAGGGCGATGTAGAATTTAGTTGGATAAGAATAAGAAATCAGCATGTCGGTTAGCTCTCTCTCTGAGAAATGGTAAGATGGAATAATGAAATCATCCCAGAGCTTCTTAATATTTGTTGAACTTCTTGTGATAGCAGTGACTGCTTTGATATGTCAGCTCTACGGTTTCTTAGGAAGACCCTCCTAATGTGTGTTTTATTGTCGTTGAAGCGTCTCTACCAACCGTAGAGACATGTTTCTCTATGCTTGAACTGCCTCTGTGCTTCATGGTTGGTTGGGTCATCATGACTGACCGACGCTTTCTGATTGATTATTGACAATCGTGTGTTCAGTGCATTGCTGCCTGTAGCCACAGCTGCAGCTTTAACACTTTGGGGGCGAGTTCTCCATGAAAAACATCTGTAGAAAATAACTCCCGGAACAAACCAGATGTGACACAAGATTGTTTTAATACTCATTCAGGTTTTTATAATATATCTAAAATAAATTTATGACAAAAACAAATTATTTTGATTTCACTTTAAGCCCTTATATAATGCCAATTACAAATTGTTGCCTCTTTTTCTGGCTGCTGGAGTCCTTTAGGTTCCAGCTTTATGGATCACAGATCGCTCTCCCAGATCTAGTTTTCTTTTGGACAATTTCTGTCCTACTATAGGTCATGTGTTCAATTGCTAATATGACAAATATTGGCTGTTTGTCCTGTACTGGAATATTTAATTTACCCAACTCTGCACTGTAGATGGAGGGTCAAAGACTGAGGCTCCTGATTAACGCTGAAACAATGTGAACTGTTTTACTAAAGCAGAAAGCAAATGTTTGCTCGTCCAGTTTTAATCTAAAACGCTAATCTTAGCACTCACTATTACATATCATCACACTATTTGGGGATAAAAGCACAAGACATCCATAAGTTCTTCATTCTAACTGAAGTCTCTCCATGCTGTTCAGACTTCCTGTTCCAGAGCCTGGAGCAGGAAGTGACTCTCGACGTCCATCTGGTGACATGCACACTCAGCCAGACATGATTCAGGGCTAATCTGAGCCTCAGTTGATGTGAAGAAGCTTCAGAGTTAGCCAGCTATACTTTGGCCCATCAGACGGTCTCACCAACATGGACTTGTTGGTGTCATTTAGGTTTATTACTTTTGTTATGCTTTTTTCTAATTTCAAGACTAATTGCTTCAAACAGACTCTGACATTTTTATCAGTCTGAAGGTTCAAAGTGTGAACCATTTATAAATCGGCACATAATGATAAATGTTTATCTTGAGGCTTCTCCCCATTAGCAGAGCCTGTCCTGAATGCTAGGCTAATTAGACTAGCCATCAATAAAAAATAATTTTCAAGTGAGTTGTTTGTCCATTAGTAGCACATTTAGCATTGAGTACATGAAATTGATTGACAGCATTAAGACCCTCCTCTTGGCCCTGATTGGCTGCTGCATTTCGATCTTTTCATAGATCATCTGTCTCATAACAAACGACATGGTGACAGTTTTAACAAACAGAAAAAAAAAGTCATTATTAAAGTTACATACTGCAGCTTTAACTGGCATTTTTGTCTCATCAATCGTATCACTTTTCTTTTCAACATCATGAATATGTTCTACTGCCTAGAAATGTCCAGTATTATTTTTTATATAATATACCTTTTTTATTTGCTCTTGTTTTGAGGTGGAGAAGGTGATGCCTGCCGACACCTTTTACTTCTCCATCATCAGAGACCCGGTCGCTCTGGCTGAGTCTTCCTTTGCCTACTATAAAGAAGTGGCCCCGGCCTTCCGGAAAGCCAAAGGATTGGGGGAGTTTGCGGACGACCCTAAAAAATTTTACGACCCTCGTCTACGGAACAACCACTATGCCCGCAACCTGCTGTGGTTCGACTTTGGCCTCGACAACAACGCCAATTTCTCTTTGGCGCTGGCTCGGCTCGGAGAGGACATGATCCGGCGGACCTTCAAGCTGATTCTTGTCTCCGAGTACTTCGACCAGTCCATGATCCTACTGAGACACGCCCTCTGCTGGCCACTGGATTCCGTTGTCTTCTTCAGCCTGAACGCTCGGCAGCAGAAGCCCAGCAGTGCCGGTGGGGTGGCTGGGACCTGGGTGGGCAAAGCAGCAGCAGCCGCTGGTGTTGGTATTAGAGGCGGGCTTGTTCAAGCAAAGATGGTACCGAACCTTTCCCTAACGCCGGAGCAACGGGAAAAGCTCAGACAGTGGAATGCCTTTGATTGGTACCTATACAAAACCTTCAACAAAACCTTCTGGGAGGAAATTGACAAGTTTGGTCATGCTCAGATGGAAAAAGAAGTTCGTCTGCTCAGGATGCGTAGGGAAGACCTGGCCCGGGTGTGCCTCAGGGACGGGGGGAAGCCTGTGGAAGCTCATCGGATCCGGGACAAAAACATTAGGCCGTTCCAAAGTGGATTAGTTAAAATTCTGGGTTATGAGCTCCAGCCAGGGCTGGACAATACCACTCGGATGTCATGCCTGAGGATGATCAGGCCTGAGATCCAGTACAAGGATGTGTTGGATTCTAAGCAGTTTCCACAGTTCCATGCCATCCCAGCTCAGCAACAGAGCCAGAGGCTGCTGGTGGCCGTTGGTGGGACCTTTATAAAACAAGAGCCACCCAGGAAAGGAAGAAAAGAGACGGGAGGAGAAGCTGGAGCTGGAGGAAGGACTTTGGACGAGGGAATGAAAGACTGGGAAGGCAGCCGTTTAGTTAGGAACAACCAGACTTTGGTACGAGAGCATGAAAAAGGAAGGCTTAGATAGGAACCTGTCGTTTTCTGTCTCTGGATGCTTGAAATGACTTAGAAATGGATGAATACTAGTTTTGTTTACCTGTGTGCAAACAAAAAGCTCTTCTATTTTGACTTGTTTTTGTAAATACTATGATAGCTGTAGTTAATGTGGTCATCAGATGTTCTAATAGCAGCAGTCACTAGGGCTGAGTGGTGTTTGCTTTTGATCAAATTTAGCCTTCCTGTTATCATATCACTGTCTGCCAGGAAAGACTGTTGAGCATTTTGAGATGATATGAATGAATGAATGAATGACCATTCAACAGCCCATATTGATCTGCCATTACCTCTAAAAACACAATAATTGAACATATGAAGAAAAGTGTTCATAACACTGACTCCTATAATTACTAGTCAGCTCTGCTTCTGCTCGCTCCTCTATGGTGTGTATTATTTTATACACACCATAGAGGTGTGTATAAAAGTAGTGTATTATTTTATAATGAAAATGCCTTGAGATTGGTTTGGTTAGCTAGAACACATGCTAACAGTTTGGTCATGGAGTGAGTTGAAGATTATTTTATCATCACAGATTTGTTCTAGTGTAGAGTATAATCTCTGCAGTTCATCTCTTAAAGGGACAGTTTGGGGTTTAAAGCAGGGGTCCACTGATTGGCCAGCCAACCGATCTGAGCTCTACAAAGGTCTGGAAATCAGCCACTGTCCTCTTTGCTCTGCTGTGAGAGACTGACTGAGGCCACGGCTGAACTTAGAGACTTAGTGGCTATATTTAGTGCCGTTTCAGATACCTTTTAGCAGCTTTTTTTTTTTTTTACCGAACCGCGACTAATGCAGTTCCTATGTTATCTGAGACTTTGGTGACAACTGACAGTGTCAGTTATTAAAAAGAAACCAGCACTGTAATCAGGTCAGGCTTTTTTAATGGCTGGAAAACTGCAACTGTAATTTACAGTAACTGGATGGTCAGGCTAACAGCCAATCAGAGGGGAGCATAGACCAATCAGATTACTTCTTGCCAGACATTTTATAGTTGTTCAAGTAAAAGTGGTTTAATTAGGAACATGACTATTTAAATACCCATTCAGTGGTAAAAGAAAAAAACACTTCAGAAGTTTATAAAACTGTTTCCATGAAGCACTCTAGCATCATGTTTGTTATTCCTTTGAGCTGTAAGAGTTTTACTGAATCTTAATAAGTTTACAGAACCTTATTCTAACAACAAAAGCAAAACTCCGATTTTGAACTGAACTAGAGTTCCTTGGTGTTTAGTCCCTGCAACTCAGATCTCCTGTAACCTTTCAGAGGTTGAGGTCTGTGGTTTATGCAGATGTTCCTAAACCTTTAAACAACACTTGTCTGAGATGTTTTTACATCATTTATATTTATCATAAATCAGTGATATTACTAAATATTTTTAAAAATATCCATACAAGGGAACCCAGAACTGTATCTGAACGAGAAAGGAAAGTGTTGTAAAAATAAAAAAAATACTACATCGTGTTTAAATCTCTGGCTTGAATTTTGAGACTTTAGCTTAGTGGGACAGTCAAACCTGAGTGGAACGATAAATTGACTTCTGCAGGTAATACGCTAATCACTCATGACTACTCCACAGAACCCTACTTTTAAGATATCCGAGCTGCCCTTTTTAACTATAGATGTCACGAATGATGAACTCTTCCTGTCCCACAGCAGGTATGATATGAAGAAGCTTTGACTGCACAATACAGTATGTTTACCAGAGCACAGCCCACTTTAACTTCCAACCAACTGTTTAACTCCCATCCAAAGTGGTGCTCTGGTCATTTCTGAGTCGGTATTCCTACATCACCACCCAGCCCTAGCAGGAATATCAAAAAGCTGTGTGTTCTGTCTGTTTTCTTGTTTTTTACATGAACTTTTAAAATGTTGGTACTGCCTTTTATTGTATAAGAGAACTGGCGCTACAGCCTGTTTCCTGGTTGTAAGAGTTTTCATATTAAGCTTGATGTAATGTGCAAGACTTTATAAAATATTCCCTCCCCTCTCGTCAGCTTCCAAACTGCTTTTTTTCTTCTTGTGCTGCAGGAGTAACGCTGACCCTCCATGGATTCTTGGAGGATTTTGCAGCTCTGCGCGGCATCCGGCAGTGAGCTGCTAGCAGCTGCCTTGCATTCCTTCTTCCAAGCAATTATGGGGGGAAATTTTCTGCCATAATTCGAGAGCACAAAATGATCCGCAAGCGAGCGGAGAGGCTTGTGAGGGGACATTGGATCTGAGCAGAGGAAAGTTTTGAGCGTGAGGAGAAACGTTTGAGGAGGCACAGTGGATATTTGAAAGAGATCAGCAGTTCTGAGTATGAGCACTGCAAGTTTTGAGAAGAAAGACATGAACTGAAATTGTGTGCTCTCGAATTGTGGCAGAAAAATTTCCCTGTAAGCAAACAAATGTATTTACACAGTGCAGAAGAAACTAATTTAAACTCTAGGACTTTTGGACAAAGTTGCTTATTTAAATTTAAGAACAAAAAGTAAAAAAAATAAAAATTCTGGAAATTCGATATTCCAAGACCAACTCTGCCGCCACACGTCTCCTCCAGACTAGCGACAGCAGCGATTAGTAAACACCTGGTGGAGCTGCATGTCTGCTGAGCTCATCATACAAACTACAAACGCTCCTAACAACGGATTTAAACAGCATCATTGAATGGGATGGAGAAGCATCGTCATGACGGTTTGGATGGAGATGGAGAGTCAGGAGCAGTGGGTGTTCTTAAAGAGACAGACCGATTTATTTAGATACAGCTATGATGTAAAGTCAAACTTCAATTTCTTTTCAGTTGTTTTTGATATATACAGCATTTTCATAACAACTGAACGTAACGTCGTTACTTGATTGGGCTATAAAATGGTACTTTGTGCCTGAAAAATACATAATGCCTCCTTCACTCTAGTTTCTAATGTCTTAAAAATAAATACCTTTACATGGTAATTAGTTATTTCTACGTAAAGGTATAGCATTTAATAACCAGTTCAAATCAGGTTTTTTTTTTTTAATGGGCCAAAAACAGGATTCAAACTCAGTCTATGTCAGTCAACTGAAACGAACTAAAAATTTTCGTTTTCATTACAAAAATACTTACAATCAATCAGAGTGGAGCCAGTGGAAGGTTTTCTGTGTAAGGCTGGTTTGCTTTGACACAATCAACTTAAAAGGGGCTTTCACCAAGTTCTACCACTGCATGCTAAAAAACATCACCAACCCTGAGCAAGCATGGGGAGACGGTGCAGAGGAACAACACTCCCTGAACAAAGCCCAAACCAGGATGACCAGACCTCTGCCTTGAGAACGGGGAAGAAACTGAAAGAGACGCTGAGCTAAGGAAAAACAGCCACTGAAATCAGTTTTAGTTCATCAGTCGGTGCAGGATGACGTGGAAGCTGCTGGTCAGGTCAGCAGGATGAACCTTTGTCCTGCTGAGCCTCAAATGTTTCTGAGTAACATGAGAGGAAAAACAATCCACAGCTCATGTTTCTAATTAGAGCTGCTTGATGGCCTGCCAGGGTCTGGTTGTATTGTCCTTGTATCCAATGATACTAACTCTAATACTGTACCTCATTCTTCCACTGTCTGCTATAAAAAATGGAAAGTATCTGGCTTACAATTACGGTATAAACCTGAAGGTCACATAGAAAATTATATGAAAAAAGTTCAAATAAATTACTTTGCAGCTTCTAGTTTGTATTTAGATTGTTGTGGAGAAATGTATTTACCAAAGATAATTATTTTAGTGTTTTACTGCAAAGATGCCACAAAAAGTCAATCATTTTTTTCAGTTTAAACACATATGATGTAAAACCAGTGATGAGTTCACGCTGTCCCCTGCTCTGCTCTGTTGAACCGGGTCGGCCTCAGAGCTACCAGCCAGGCTGCCAGCTCAGCAACTTCCTCTCTGCAATGATTTTGAACTTTTCATTCTTTGATTACAGAAATCTTTAAACTTTATCACTGAATGAAACAAACAGCAAAAAAAAAAAGTCTAAAAAATGTTTAGAAAATTTAGTGTGAATAAGTCGGCAGCTCCTCTTTTTTTAAGCTAGTTGAGTGTTGATGTTGTTCACTGTACTTCCTGAACACATTTGGCTTCAGTGGTCAGCACAGAGGAAGTTGTTATGCACGAACAGCTGATGCAGTTTCAGAATTAAGCGTTCCATTTGTGTTGCGGTGAAAAGCAGCATAGTTCGTACAGGAAACCCAGCAAAACCAGCAAAGAAGCTGCACACAGCCCAGACTGCCAGCTACAGAAACACAATTCATCACGTTTTGCTGCTTGACTTTTCCTCACAGCCTTTTAGAATGGCTGTTTTAAATGATACTTTTAAAGGCGCAGTGTGGAAGAAACCAGGCGCTCTCTGGGTCAGACTGTCTTCTCTTCTTTTTTTCTAACTGATGACATCTTGCTCTGCCACACAGATGGGGCTGAATTATCTGGTTTCAGCTCTGCCTTTGAATGTCAGCAGAGTACAGTTCAAACTGTGGTTGTTCTGTGCAGAGTAAAGGTCGAGCTTCTTCTACGCCCACTCACTTTTGAATTTGTTCTAAGTGACTGAGCTTACAGAAATCTAAGTCTGGGCAATTTGAACCGGGCTGGTAAGGTGAGAAGGATGAAGGATCTCTCTGCTCTTCATGTGTCAAACTCAAGGAATGTGAGCCAAATCCAGCCCTTCATAGCGTTTTATGTGGCCCTCTGGATTTTAGACTAAAATACTAAGTGTGCTTAAATATCATGTTGTCAATCAAATCAATGCAGTTTTTATCTGTTTACTGCCAAATAATATTAATCAATCCCTCCAGCTTCTTGAGAATTATTGTGGAAATTCACTCAAAATATACAAATCCCTGCACTTTTTTGTGCTAATTGAGAATTTATTGCAGATTTTTCTCAAAAGAATTATTAGGAGTTTTTCATCTGTTTTAGGGTCATGTTGATGAGCTGAATCCTAAAATCACATTGGTTTTGCTCAATCAGGTCAACTTTCTGATCTATGGAGCAACATTAGCATCAAAATGCAGGACTTGTTCTCATATCTGGAGAATCTGATCAATAAGTGATAATGTTCAATTCACATGTACTTACACTGTTAATTAATGTGCTCTGTTAGAAAACAATTTCTTTATGGTTCACAAAACCATTTTTGGATGAGAAATATTAACAGAAATGAACTGATGATGTCACAAAAATGTAATCAATTTAGTCAGAAGATCAGATTTTTCTAAAGCAAAATAGAATAAAACCTGACCTGATTGAGAAAAATGGATGTCATTTTTGGATTCAGTTGTCCAAAATAGTAATTCAGTTGAAAAAACAAAGACAATTTCCAAAAAATATGCATTTATGACAGAGTGTAATCTGTCTCATGTAATTATCTGTCCTGCCATAGTGATAGTTTGAAGAAAGATGTAACAAAAAAACAAACAAAAAAAGCAACCTTTTGTATATATAAGAGGCAGGAGGGGAAGAGCAGGATTAGAACAGAGGACAACAGACAGCAGGTCATAACAGAGGGAGCTGTAAACGGGGCAAGCAGCAGAGAAATGATGAGCAGAAGAGCCAATCAGAGCTGAGTGAATGCAGCAGAGGAGAGATGAGATGATAGAAAACACCTGGGAGGGAGAGAGAGAGCTGGCAGACAGGGAAGCATGAAAAGGAGAAAAGAAACCTGAACCTAAAATAAAGAGTAAAAAGATATAAAAACTAAGCTAAGAGATAAAATCCAAAACTTAAACAATGAGGATAAATAAATGGACATAAGGAGTTATCCAAAATGGTAAAGTATAAGGAAATAAACAGTAAAGATCAAAAGCAGAAACAAAAATGAAACAGTCTTAACTGATACAGATAATAGTTTTCAGTCATATGCCTTCATTTTTGTGTCTTGCTCTAGTTTTTTTTTTTTTTTTTTTTTTACTTAAAACCTGGTTCTTGTTCACAAGAACAAAACATAAAATCCGATAATTTTCTTCCCATATCTTAATAGTTGTATTAGAACAGAATATAGTTGTTTATAATATTTGCCATTCTTCCAGAGCTGTCATTTCTGAAAACTAGTTAACATGTTTCAGTTTCATATTTCATCTCAAGTGTTTCTCAACTCAAGGGAGTAAAAATAACCTACATGTTTATTTTTCTCAGTAATTTATGTTATGTTGTTTGTCTTATTTGATTATTAGGACAACAGGAGGCAAATGCAAATCAGCTGATTTGCATTTGGCTTACAGTTCTACTGAATATAAAAAGAAATTATATATACATAAATCACAAAATGTGTTGAGATGGATTTATATATCCACCCAGTTCAGAGCTTTCAAATGACAATAATTAGTGAAAATATGTCAGCAGATGCAATCCCAGCCTGAGCAGGTAGAGACAATTCTGAGGTAAAAACCGTTAAGCAGAAGCAGCTTTCAGGACAAGCAGTTCTGTGCCTCAACTTGCTAGTAGTGGAAAGAACAGGGGATATAATACTTCAAAAGGAAAAAGTGAATTGTGAGGATTCCCTCTCAGCCTCAGTACAGTGTTTCAACAAGCAGAATGGTTCTGTTCTCTCCCTCCATGCTTCAGGTTCTGCCTCTGAGGAAGCCAAGGAAGAGGCTTGAGCAGAACACACATGAAACCTCTGGACTCTGTAGTTTGTGGGCAGAGACTTATGACACTGGTTTCACTTCAGCTTCAATAGTGAAACATGGAATAACCACAGCAGACTATTCGGAGACAGAGAAGTGCTTTACTGACCCTGACAGTTTTTTTTTTCTGTCACAGACTGTTTTAAAAAATGTTTTGCTACTTGTGTTGTATGTCGTATTCAGGCATTTCTGAAAACAAGAGAAAATATCAAAGAAAGAGCTGTGGCGCTTAGTAACCAGAAGGCATTCAGGATGTGCTTCAACAAAGGCATATTTATTCACAAATCACAGACATTTTAAAAAGAACAAGTTCATTAACGAAACATTAACATTTCACACAAAAAATGGTTAGTTCAAAAATATAA